AAAAAATTAAAAGTTTAATAACTAAAATATATTCACCCAAAATAAAAACGTTATTACGTTAATAATTTACCCGGGAAAAAAAGGCATAAAATGACAAAAACTAGAGAACAAAACTCTTTATACCCTTTCTTCTCTCTAGTAAATAGTTTGATTATTGGGGAGAGAGAAAGTGGATCCATAAAAAAAGGGTTAAAATACACAATTTGTCACTAAACTTTACTTTATCTCCTAATTTACTCATTGTACTTTTATTTTTTTCTAATTTACTCATTAAATCTTTGAATTACTCTTATTTTAATCATTTTAAATTATTTTATTATGATTTTCCGTAAGATTTTTTTTATTATTTAATATAAAAATTAAAATATAAAATAAAAATAGAAGATGATATATGACAAACAATTATTATTTTGTGTCTTTTTAAATTTAATAACAATAAAATATTATTTTACTATTTATTTAAAATTATTTTTATAATTAAGTAGAATAAAGATGCCATGTCATAAAAAATAATGATAACATAAACCAAAGTGATCAAAACAGGAGCAATTCGAAAGTTTAGTGATTAAATTAGAAGAATTGAAAGTAAAATGACTAAAATAGGAGAGAGTAAAGTTTAATGAAATATTGTGTAATTGACCCGAAAAAATAAATAAATGGAAGCTATTGAAAGTGAGAGACAAAGAAAGAAAGAACCCATTTCATTTTCGCTTTCAAACTAAAATTCAGTAACGAAAAGCAAAGCAAGAAGAAGAAGACGATTGAAGGAGAACGAAAGATCAGCAAGAAAAAGGGTAGTTCATAATTGGCTTACATGTATGTATATACATACACAAATATATATATAGAGAGAGAGAGAGAGAAAAAAAAAAACTGATCTTTTAGGTTTTGTTTTGTTATTAGAAGACTACTGCAGAAGTTGCAGAACTCAGTCATCTCTCAGTAGCAGCTGATTATTTGCAGAATCCATATATATATATTGGAAAGTCACTCAACAAACAAGATCTCTCTTTCTCTTTCCAAAACCTTCCCTTTCTTTTAACTTCTGCAAAAAATTCAGATATTTTGACCCCACCTTCATCCTTTTTTCTCTTTAAAAACTTATATAACACCCACATAGATATCTTCTTAGATTGCCCATTTCTGAAAAAAATTTCTCTTTGTATATGTATATGTATATATAGTTTTGTTTTGTTTTTGTTTACTTTTATCAGTCACTGTGGCTACTACAAGAGGGCAGCTTCCTTCAGACACTGGCGCCTTTGCTGATTGGGCGACATCATCCTCGACGACAGCAATCCGAGGTGGTCCGGATGATCTTTCACTTGGTTTCAATGCCAACGCTGCTGTGGCGGTGCCGGTTGGATCGTCCACCTCTCAATGGCCGCCTTTGGCTCGACCGATCAACTATGGACTCCCGACTGAGATGGGGATGGTTGGTCTCCGGGATTTCGTTGTTGTTGCTCCTGCTTCTTTTAACCATCATCATCATCATCACCACCACCATACTCAAGATCCCATCATGGTGAACGAGCAAATCAGCGGTCCGGGTGGCGCCACGGCTCTCGGCGTCGGTGTTATCCCTCTTCTGACGGCGGCTCCGTGTTTGCCTCCGCAGAATGTGGATGATTCTGATTTGTTGAACAACAATGGTCGTGGTAAACTCAGTGGGATGCAGCTATGGCAGAACCATAATTCTTCTTCTGCTGGTCATTATCTTAAGAAACCATCTTCAATTCCCGACAACAATAATTCCTCCATGAATTTGATACATACCGGCGGCGGCGGCGGCGGCGGAGGAATGGGAGGAGGGAGCGGTGGTTCGGGTTCCAGCTCGGGGGCAACGTGTCAAGATTGTGGGAATCAAGCTAAAAAAGATTGTTCCCATAGGAGGTGTAGAACGTGTTGTAAAAGTCGGGGTTTTGATTGTCCTACTCACGTGAAGAGCACGTGGGTACCGGCTGCTCGGAGAAGGGAACGTCAGCTCATGACGGCGGCTGCCACGACCGTCGGAGGCGGCTCATCGGGATCGACGTCGGGTGCGAAAAAGCCGAGACTTGTAACATCTCAAACTACAACTACCTCTCATACATCAACTTCGAATACTACTCCTAGAAGCTTTGACACTAGCTCAAGTCACCAGGGTAATTCAAATACATTTACACAGATGTTGCTAAGAAAATTATGTTTTAGTTTTGATTTTATATGTACATATTGTGTATGCAGATGCCGGTTTTAAGGAGTCGTTGCCGGGCCAAGTACGTGCACCGGCGGTGTTCAAGTGCGTACGAGTGACTGCGGTGGACGACGGTGACGACGAGTATGCTTATCAAGCGGTTGTTAAGATTGGTAGCCGTGTGTTCAAAGGGTTTCTTTATGATCAAGGAATTGAAGGAAGAGATGGGATTCCGAATTTATCCGAATTGCATTTAGGTGGTGGTAGTGGGAGAAATATGGGGTCATCGTCATCTCCGGTTCTCGATCCATCTGAAGTTTACACCGCTGCCAGCAGCGGCTTCCTCGGTGGTTCGGTATACGGTAATCCAATAAACTGATCCCATCTCTTCGAGTTAGAACCCTTGGATTGATCGATTGGTCTCGGGGGGGTTGCATTTTAGTCTTTGTTAAATTTTTGTTTCTTGTAGACTTTGAATTAACATATATGATTTGCTTCTACTGTCGTTCGAAATTGCTGGTTGAGGATCTCATAATCATATATATTCGATTATCTGAATTTTGAATCAAGGGAAGCAAAGGTAAGAAGAGATTAATTTCAGTTCTTGAACATTTGTGATGTTTAGCAAAGGTGAAACCTGCATTGCAATGTGCTTTTCATCATCAAAGACATGTCATGAACCTTACTTTCTGTGTATTTTACACATTATCATGCTTGTTTCGAGTTAGAATGACGGTTTGCTTGTGGAGTTTGCTTTGTTGGTTCTCTCGTTTTGTTCTGATCATAGCATTCAATACCGGATCAAACATAGCGTTCCATTTGCATTCTGCTAGTTTTTTCGGGTCTGAGATGAACCATGAGTTAAATGTCGATTTCGTGTTCATCCTGTGGCCGCTTTATTAGACTTTTTAGTCTGAGAAGTCGTCTGTGTCCCCAGCATTCATTGCTAAAGAAGACAGAGCATTGGCATTTTGATTGATTGAATGTGAAATGTGCAATACATTGGACATTTGCATGTAGGTTTTTCTTCCGGTTCGATAACCGGGAGAATCGTTGTGGGGGACTTGTTTGGCTTCTAATGGTACTTATCCCTTTGTCCATGTTCTTCTGCTTTTAAAGTTGTTATTCGGCTCTTGCTCTCGGCCCGTCGGCATGTTTGTCCCCTCTTAGATGTCTGCATATAGGATTGACTAGTGGATTTCATCATGTGAATTGCATTATCATTCTTTCTTTGTGTATTCATGTGTATCGTCTGTTACCTAAGCGGCGTATGCTGAATCGGAACCATGCGAGTTTAGAAACGTCTGTCTCGTTGTTTGTAGCATATCGTAAAGGACATGTTTCGTATGTTGTCGGGAACTGATTGATGATATGCTAAATCCCTACTTTTGCCTGAAGATCTAGTATCATCGTAAGGCTGAAGATGTGTAACAGTTAGCATTAAGTTTATGATTCCGGCTGGATAGAGACCGGAATAAACTGATCCGGAATTCCGAATGTGGCTTTGAACCTGTTACTCCGGCAGCCGTGTACATTGTTAGGTACCTTTTGTGGTAAGCACATTCATTTTATTCTCTTATTACTGCATATAGGAAAAACAGGTTAAAAGAACTTCAGCCGAGTATTTACAGATAATACTTGACTATTTTTCGGTTTCGGCCCCGACTTGAATATCCGTATCAAACATTATTAACGGTTGGTTGAGCGTCCGGATGTTCTCGTGTTTTTGATACGGTGGAAGACGTTTCTGCTCGATTGCTCTTTGATTAGGTTCAGCTAGGGCAAACCAACAGACCAAACATTAGTTTGCACTAGTGTTGTAAGTTTTGTAGTGTAACTCTCTTGTTCCGACAAATAACACGTCTAACTATGAGTGGGTATTCGATCGAATCGAATATAGAAAATTTAAGTTGAATAATCCTACATTGGATACACACAATGAGACCTCGTGGCCAATATACTATTAGTCTATTACTAAGGATAGATGAAATGAACGTCACCAATATATATACACCGCTGCCCCCTACAGCCACACTGCCGGACTGTGGCCGACGGAAAGCAGGGTTCATAAAAGTAGTAGGCGCTGCCATTTCTTTCCCTCCTACCAACCCTTCAAAGAACTGCCCTTGTACAGTTGTGCCCCTGCAAGAGTTACACCGAAAGAGTAGAAGAGCCGGAGAACGAGCCCGGCAACGAATGGAGCCCGGTAATGAAAGAGTACGGTTGCGCGTGAGATGCAGAGCCAGTTACAGTGGTTATTAGTAAAACCAACGTGGTTTACTCCAGCAGAGATAATGATAATATTAGTAAATATCAGAACCAGCAGATATCTCGATAATCACTGGCTTCCCCGGAAACTTCCAGGGCTGTTCTCAGGTGAACCGTTGTTGGATGTTTCAGCCTCAGAAAGAGAGATAGCACCGCCGTTGGATACACGGAGGAATTGTGTACGTAGCTCCTGAGAGTGGAACGGGGAGGTTTTATGCTGCTTTAGGGTTTTTTTTTATTATATTTTACACTGTCATAGAAGGTAAAATAAAGAATAGAAGTGAGACCCTTGTCAAATTTGGACTCATTGATACTTTGTTTTATAAATTTAATATATAGCAATACGTATTAATTTGTTATACATAATGTTGATGTTTAAATCAAATATTTTATTTAAGGGAATCGGTGTTATTATTAGATGTCACAGATTCTAGTACCAGCGATCGCAACAGAGCGTTCATTATAAATTGATTGAGAATATTTAGAACACATATGATTTTATAATCATCATAGCTAATAAAAAATATTTTATTTAAATGTAAAGTACACAAATGGTTCCCTAATTATAAAATACTACTTTATTAAATCACCTTACTATTAAAGTTTACAAAATGATCTATCGACTATAGAAAGGTGTTTTATTGAATCCCTCAACTATTAAAAGTTATAAAATGGTCACTCAATTATTTATTATGTTCTAAACTCGTCATTTTTCATTAAAAAAATTAATGGTAATATGAATTGGACATTAATATGTTGTCTGAGATATAATAGCTAGTCGTTTGAGATTATGAAATCATATTTTATCATATCTCAGTCAGCAGGTTTGCATACAACTCAAACTGTTATCAAATTATTAACGAAAAATGACGAATTTTGAACATAATGAATAATCAGGTGACTATTTTCTAACTTTTAATAGTCAAGGGACTCAACAAAGTAATTTCCTATGGTTGGAGAACAATTTTGTAACTTTTTAAAATCAGGGGATTTAATAAAGCAATATCCTATAGTCAGGTGATTATTTATGTACTTTACCCTTTGTTTAATTATGTACAAAAATTTAAAATATATAAAAACAATAAAGATATTAAATTTAAAAAAAAGATGAAATTGATAAAATGATAAGATAATTGGAGTTAAATTAATATGTTTGATATTTTTAGTTAGTTGATTTAATTTGATAATAAATTACAAGTTAGAGGTCAAAAGAGATGAAAAAAATAAGGGATAAAATAATTAATTTTAGATTAATTTGAAGACCAGAAATGCTATTAGATCTTACTTCAATACAATTCATTAACAAAATTTCCAATCAAAAATTATATTTTACACAAAGCCAATCTTTTCGACTAGCCAAATCCTCTCCTAACATTCTATTGATTTTTCGTTACATGAAAATATTTAATCGTAACGTTTAACTTTTTTTGATGATGACATCATCACGTCGTTTTTTCGTGTTCGTTTCAAGATTTCCTTTTTTCATCATTGTCACGAATTCATCATAGTTTATCGTTCCATCCTGTAACATAAAAATTTATTAAACTTATGTGTATGCATGTGTGTATGTACGAATAAATGTATATGTATGCATGTATGAATTACATTGTCAGAGTCCACTTCCAAAATAATTTCCTTGATGGCTTTGTCGTCATGCCTGCCGTAGTCACGAAGACCTTGCTCTAGCTCTTTTATGGTGATGTACCTGCAATTATGCATATAGCGATTAATTCCGGTAAGTATCGATACTAGAATCTCGGTTTTTATTATTATAATTACCTGCTATTGTCTTTATCGAAGTGTTGGAAGGCTCGGTATAGATGTTCTTCTCGATCCATTCGGTTCATGTGCATGGTGGCCGTGATGAACTCCTCGTAGTCTATGGTTCCGTTGCCGTCAGCGTCGGCCTTTCGTAACGAACAAGCGATGAATGAGTATGAAGAAAGAAGACCATATGTGAATCTTTGGAAAACAAGACTTACTGCCTCTATTAGTTGTTTAGCTTCGAATTCGCTTAGCTTTGTTCCTTGTTTCGCGAGTCCTTGTTTCAATTCTTCGAGCGTTATGGTCCCGCTGTTATCGGTATCCATGCCCTTGAACATCTCCTTCAATCCCTGGATTTCTTCCTCCGATAAACAGCCCGCAATGACCCGCAAAGCGACTTTCTTGAAGTTGTTCATCGCTTTGAACTGTTTGAGCCTACCTAGAACCGCGTTGTCGAGTGGCGTATCGGGTGCCTCACCGTCCTCTTTGATCCACGGATGATCTGTCAGTTGCCATACACTTGGTCAGACAACATATTTTTCGATCGCATCGCATTTATCACAGTCATGAACCACTAACCAAATAATGCCACCAAGTTAAGCATTTATCACGGATGATCTGTCAGTTGCCACGGATGATCGCATCGCATCGCATCGCATACGTACTTGGTACTTGTTGGGCTGTCAACCGTTGCTTGGGATCCAAGTTAAGCATTTTCAGAACAAGATCCTTGGCTTGATGTGAAATATACGGCCATGGATCAATCGTAAAATCAACGTCGCCGCATAAAATCGCACTAAATATTGCGTTTTCGTTTTCTATATATATCGAAACAATCATCTTAGCTTCATGCTTCAAGGTATGTGTATGTATATAATTACTTACCTCCCCAAAAGGGTGGAACACCAGATAGAAGAATGTACAACATAACTCCAATGCTCCAAATATCAGCTTCTGGTCCATATTTCCTATCCAATACTTCCGGTGCAATATAATACGCGCTACCAACGACATCCCTAAATATATCACCTGTTCCGAAAGCAGGAATTAGCGATGTTCGAGTCTAATGACGGTTTTCGGTTTTTTCGTATCTTTACCTGGTTTGTAAAAGACCGACAGACCGAAATCCGTGGCTTTGAGTGGGGAATTTTCCTCTTGGTTCAAAAGTAAGAAATTCTCTGGCTTGAGATCCCTATGGAAAACCCCCATCGAATGACATGTATGGACGATTTGAACGATGGTTCTCAGCAACGAAGCTGCCGCGCGCTCGGTGTAATGACCCCTGGCGATGATCCTATCGAACAGTTCTCCACCAGCACACAGTTCCATCACCAAATGGACCGAATGTTTATCCTCGTAAGCACCTTTGAGTTCGACGATGTTCGCCTGCCCCGTCAAATGGTCCATGATCTGCACTTCCCTCCTAACATCCTCGATATCTTCCTTTTTCACGAGATTCCTCTTGGCTATCGTCTTGCACGCGAATTGCTCGCCCGTGGGCTTATGTGTACACAAGTACGTGACCCCGAATTGTCCCCTGCCCAATTCTTTATCGATGTAGTATATCGTTTGAACATCTTCCATCGGACGACACAACACCGTCCCGATGCTAGGCCTATTACGCTTAGAGGATGAACCCGATAACCCTCGCGGCGACTCTTGCGACGGAGCATCCTGTTGTTCCGGTGGGGTGTTTGAGAAACTATCCTGACAAGACGAACCACTGGAATCAATGTTGTCATTTTTAATCGAGGCCTCTTGTTCGTTCGAATCTACAACGAGAGCAACAACTCCCCATTTATGACGGGGAAATAAAGTACTCTCGAGACAAATCGATAATCCGTATCGGAGAACATGAATTATCGAAGCCATGATCGTGGTCGAGGAAACAAGGTTAAGTAGAAAAAAAGAGAGACAATGTGCAGCTAAATTTTAGGATTAAAAATGATAATTTCGGATAATGTTTTTAAATTCCGACATGTTTTATAGACGAAGGTTTAGAGGATTTATCGGACAAGCAATAATAGAAGATAATAATAGTTTCTAAGACAATAATTTACATACATTATTTTTCATCTTTCGTAATTATGAAATTCGTTAAGTCTACAATTACGATTATAAAATGTATATCGAACCATCTTTTATCAACTATAGGTGGATCTTTTATCTTCGTTCTAACAACTTTTACACTCAATATTGAATTGAATCGATCGATTGAAGGAAAAATAAGCGTTTCGATCGATCGGATCCGTTGAGCTAGATACTTATTTGTACGTTCCTGAAATGCTCAAGCTTTGAAGTTAAAGCAGAAGCCAAGTATTCTGCACTGCTAACTTTATCCTCTATGCCAAGATCGGACATTGATGACAACATGATGTTGACTTGTTGTTCGACGAACTCATGTTTGATATCATGTTAGTTAAATTAACGAGAATTAACGTTTCAATGATCATATCAGTCTTATATTTTTGGTTTAACACTCGAGTGATAGAAAAAATTTGAACAATTTAAACGTTAAGTAATCAAATTGAAAATTTTAAACTTTAATGATCAAAACAAGAATATAATCGAAGTTTACCCGACATGTATTAAGGGTAGGAGCATGGACGTTCTTACCTTGTTTAAAATAAAAGGAAAAACTACGCATTTAGTATCTAAACTATAAGTTTTGGTATATTTTAGTACCTAAACTTTCAATTTTTCAAAATCATATCCAATGTTTAGTTTTTGTTTCCTTTTAGTACCCATTGTTAAAAACTTAACGCGTTTAGTTGAATGGGTACTAAAATAAAATAAAAACTAAACTTTAGGTATGATTTTTAAAAAAATTAAAAGTTTAGGTACTAAAATAGACTAAATCTGATAGTTTAGGTACTAAACATGTAATTTATTGAAAATAAAATGATAAAGTAAACAAATGGTCCTCGACTATAAGGTACTACTTTGTTGAATCTCTTAACTATTAAAAATTACAAAATAAATATCCGACTATAAGACACTGCTTTATTGAGTTCCCACTGTTAAAAGTTATAAAATGATCATTTGGCTATTCATATATTTCAAATTTGTTTTTTTTCGTTAAAAAATTGACAGTCAGTTAAGATGTACGTTAAATATGATGACTGAGATATGATAATTATTTGAGATTATGATATCATATTTTATCACATCTTAGTCAATATGTTAACGTCCACTTCAAACGATTGCCAATTTTTTAACAAAAAAATATAAGTTTGAAACATATGAATAGTGAGATGATCATTTTGTATTTTTAATAGACTAGGACTCAATAAAACAATACCTTATAATTAAGGGATCATTTTATAATTTTGAATAGTAAGGGGACTCAGTGAAGCAATACTCTATAGTTGAGAACCATTTGTATACTTTACCCCAAAATAAAATTAATGTAAACTATGTGTATAGTACCTAAACTATCAATTTTGATATATTTTAGTACCTAAACTTTTAAAATTTTCATTTTTATTTCATTTTAGTGACACAGTTCAAAATTTAATGTTAAATTTTGAAAAAAATAAAAGTTAGGTGTTAAAATAAACCAAAACTAATAATTTAGGTGCTAAATGCATTAAGTTTTTAATAGTGAATGTTAAAATGAAATAAAAACTAAACAATATGTATGATTATGAAAAAAAAATGAAAGTTTAGGTAGTAAAACAGAATAAAACTGATAGTTTAAATACTAAATGAGTAGTTTACCCTAAAATTAACGATAATGGATACGCGCCTAAATAAGCTCGTGAAGAGCCGTAGAACCAAGGGAAGAGCTAAAAGGAATTAATGGAAGCAGCAGAATGAAGGAGATGGATTAGATTACGAGATTATGTAAAAGATAAAGAAGTAAATTCAATATATATATATATATATAAAGATAAATAAAAGCTCTCATTGTTTGTTTGTTGAAATCAATGGCGTTTTCAGCCATGACTTCTTCTCTGTCACATTCTCATCTTCATATTTGTTAGGAAGAGTGAAATAACAGAAAGATATTCTCAGTAAAGAATTGCTTAATTCATATCAGCTGAGTACATTGCTTTTGTACAGAGTTTTAGCTAAACATTAATCGCTTAACAAACTAACTAACTTGGCTAACCAACTTAACCACCCTTACATACATGTGATGACTCTACAGCATTCTAACATTCCCCCTGCTCTTCCTTACACACACACTCTTTCGAAATTCTTCAAAGGCAGATTTTGACAATGCCTTGGTGAAGCCATCTGCAATCTGATGCTTAGCTGGTATGTACTTCACTAATAATTGCCCATCTACGACCTTCTCTCGGACAAAATACACATCCATAGCAATATGCTTAGACTGAGAGTGATAGATGGGATTGGCACTCATCGCAACAGCCCCCGTATTGTCACACCAGATCACCGGTTCTTGACGTTGATGTAGTCCGAGATCATTAAGCAAAGCACCAACCCAAGTCACCTTAGCAGCAATGTTTGCTACACACCTATACTCAGCTTCCATTGTCGATCTGGACACTGTTTTTTGCTTCTTCGAGCTCCAGGCAACAAGACATTTACTAGCAAAGACGCCATAGCCTGAGATCGACCGTCGATCATCGACATTTGCTCCCCAGTCTACATCAGCGAACGCTGTAACAGACAAACAATCATCTCCCGGTTAAAACACCAGCCCATAATGAACCGATCCAGCTAGATATCTTAATATTCTTTTGACAGGTACCATATGTGCTTCTCTCAGAGCATGTATGAATTGGGCGACCTTACCAACACTATACGCTAGATCTGGACGAGTGTGACACACATACAGCAGAGAGCCAACTATACTACGGTATTCAGTGGCATTAGGAAGCGCTCTCCTTCATTTGCTGAAAGTTTAGAAGATAAAATCATCGGTGTTCCATAGCTGGCTGCTTTTGTCATACCAGATTTTTCCAGTAGCTCGAGGATGAACTTCTTTTGGCTCAATACAATGGACTCTCGTGACCGATGCACCTCAATGCCTAAGAAGTAACTGAGCAGACCTAAGTCATTGAGCGAGAACCATTATCGAAGCGCCTGTACCACCTCTTGTATTCTATCAGTAGACTGCCCGGTGATGACAATGTCATCAACATAAACCAGCACATAAGTATCATTTTCATGTTTCCTACTGACAAACAAAGAAGAATCCGTACGAGATGAGCTAAATCCCATTTCCACCAAACTGTCTTTAAGTTTGGTATGCCAATTTCGAGGCGCTTTTCGGAGGCCATAGAGAGCCTTTTGTAACTTACAAACGAGCTTAGTTCCATCTGCTGCCAACATCTCAAAGCTCGGTGGTTTCTCTATAAAAACGTCTTCACCTAGGTCCCCGTTGAGGAACGTGTTATTGATGTCCACATGCCTGAGCTCCCACCCGTTTGTCACAGCCAGAGTCAACATAACGTAGAAGGTGGAGAACTTGACCACGGGGCTGAAGGTGGCAGTGAAGTCATGTCATGGTACCTAAGAATAGCCTTTCGTAACTAACCTGGCTTTATACCGATGAATGGTACCATTTGGATTCCGTTTGAGTTTGAACAACCATTTGTATCCTATGGGAGTACGTCCTGCTGGTAGTTTTACTAACGCCCACGTGTTGTTTCTGCGAAGTGCATCTATCTCGGCTTGGACTGCCTCACTCTAGTTGTCAGACTGCAGCACCTCATGTATAGAAGCAGGTATATTATGCTCAAAATAAGCACTGTATGACTTGGGTTTGAATATCCCGCACTTGCTGCGAGTCAGCATTGGATGACAACTTTGCCTCATCGAGTTTATAGCACCAGGTCCATTTGAAATATTATCACATGCATTCGTGTGTGCATTAGCATGCTCATCTGTGTCAGCTATATCAGGGTTTGTATTAACATTGGAGTTTGAGGTTGCATCTAAGACAAGAGAAACCTCATTAGCGAACTCTAACAGAGGTGCAATTTCAGGCACAATCTGAATTTGTTGCATTTGACCTGGAAGAACATCTTCAGCCAAACCATCCTCAATACGGTTAAAACCAAGCATATTGCGCCATCTTTGTGTATCAGCAATAACTGTAATATTTTGTGAGCGAAAGACATTGGCGTTGTGTTGCGTATTGTCTGCCTCTTTACCTGCAAATGAAAACACCATTTTGTTAAACACCACGTGACGTGAAATATAAACCTTTCCATCATCTGCAAGGCACTGGTTCCCCTTATGCCTAGGGCTAAATCCTAAATACGTGCAAGGTTGCGAGCGAAGGGACAATTTATGAGTTTGGAAAGGTCTTAGGTGGGGAAAGCACTGACACCCGAAGACCTTTAGGTCAAGATAAACAGGTTTCTTGCTATACAACTTCTCAAATGATGAATTCCCTTCAAGCACCTTGGTTGGTAACCAATTGATGAGGTGAACAGCTGCTGTCATTTTCATAGGACCAGTACTGAATAGGTAAGGACACCTGAGCTAGCAAAACCAGGCCAAACTCGACTATGTGACGGTGTTTGCGTTCGACAACACCGTTCTGCTATGATGTATGAGGGCAAGATAGACGATGCACAACACCGGCTTGAGCTAGTAACATAGAGAGAGGGCGATATTCT